TTGATTGGCTGAGTTGTGGGTTGGGTGGGACAAAGGTTAGGTGCGGTAGGGTCAAGTAATGCTACAGCCTGAGAGAAGTGGTAAGAGAAGAGCTCTGCTATGTCGTCAAGATTAGAATAGGGCCTGCCGTTATGTGTGAAGACCGGCGCGTGGAACATTTTTTTTTATAGTGAAAACATGCCCAAGAGTTTGGGCTGGCAGGTTGCTTTTGCTCTTAGTTGGTAGGTAATCGTTATGGGAGATATGGATGAGATGCTTGACTTCGGTACGTGCCTGGTGGGCTTGGTTAAGATTAGTGGGATTTAGAGGCACTTTTTTGAATAGTCGGTGTTTACGTCTGATTAAGACTGCAATCTCCTTTGTCATCCATGGAAGGCTGCCGAGCCTCCTGTTGATCCTTAAGGCCTGTTCACACTCTTGCGACCGAGTATGACTGAGAGAGACGAGATCTCTTAAACCTTCTTAAATGTTTTTAGAATGAGGGAACACACTGGCATTGTGGCGCCATCTATGCGGTGACCCTGCAACTGCATTTCACAAGAGCGAAGGTTTTGCGGGATTTCCAAAGTCAAATGTGCGTAATACCCATAGAAAGGCTTGTTTATAACATTGACAAAAGTTTTCCGAGCCAAGAAAGAAGGGATAATGCGCGAGAAATTAAAAAAAAAAAATATACCGGACCTCCGAGTTTACATTACTTCCCAATAGATGGCGCCAGTGTGTTTTCTGGTTTAAGAAGTTTTAAGGAACCCAGGTTTAAGAGGTTGCAAGACTGTGAACGGGCCTTTAGGGTGAACACTTTTGTGCTGAATTGCTGATATATTGAGTGAGAGGTTGTCGGCCTCGTCAGCCGATGGGTGATCAAACACGATGAACCAGGGAGCGAGGTGGATGACCTAATTGAGATGAGGGAAATCGGTGTTTTAGAACTGCTGGAATTTCTTGGCTTGATGACCTCGCTTAGGGCAATGAATATTGGTGAGGAGAGCACTGCGATCACTGCCTGGTAGGCTGGATTTCACTGTGCAGCGGTATGATAAGGTGGGATTATTGGTGCGGATGAGGTCGAGGAATGTAGCGTTGCTGCTTTGAGAAATGTAGAATGAGGTGTCATGAAGTTAGGTGAGGCCAGCAGTTTCCAATACGTCTTACAGCATGTCATCAAGTGGATCAGATGAACAGTGCAGAGAACTTGCTGGGGTCGACGCGCTGTAGGCTCTTTTCGAGGAGGGCGTACGATTCTTCACTGAGGGAGGGTGGGCGGGCAGTAGGTAGACACCAGAAGAAGCTTTCCATGTTTACAAAATACCTCGACAAAGATGGCTTCTAGACCCGGAGGGGTGAGGTGGTCAAAACGTTGGCAGGGCAGGTGTTATGGCATAGCGAGGACGGACTCCTTCGCCCCAAGGAAGGACAGTCTTGCTGGAATAAAGAGAATTGTGCGAGATTGATTAATTCCCCATTAATCACCCACCGAAGACAGGCCCATTAATCACCCACCGAAGACAGGCGTCCAGCCATGTCTCGCACACAGCGAATATTGTATTCGGGAAAGATTACTTCAGCGCTTTAAAGTCAGGAATGTTGTTTTTTAGGAAGCAAACGTTGGAAAACCAAACGGGATTGGAGTCTGTAGACTCCGATCGCGCACTTTTCACACGACAACTATGCCAAACGCGGAGTTGTCATGCGAACGGTGAACGCTGCCGATGTCGCGTGCTGGAGGCGGGTCGGAGAACTACTTGGTAGAGTTGGCAATGATGGTGGGGTACACAGGGGCTCCGTGCTGCTTAGGGGATGGAAAGAGGTCATCAGCCAGGGGTGCGAGCTGGCACGCCGCACAGAGCCACTCGGTTGATAATGAGGAGAGGCGTCTATACAAAGCGAGAGATACATCTTCACATTTCTGGTGGAACCACAAATCATAAACGTCGCATTGGAGAGTGGCGGCATTGTCGACAGACAGGAAACAGCAGGGGCAGGTGGGACGTGAGCCGGAGTTTGAAGGTACACCCGTGAGCGATATGAAGGTGAACAGCCCTCTTCTTGTTCTTGACGCTCCTGCAAGTTTTGGAACAAGCTCTGTTCCAGAAGAGGGCTAGAACGCAAAGTTTAGACCCCAAGCCACATACTATTTGAGACGTTGAGAGTTAATATAGCTTTAGAGAGCCGTGAAATGGGCAAGAATCCAGGTAAGGTGTTCACTTTCATATTGCCGGCGGGTGTGCTTCACCAGTGATCAGCAATAACGAGATTAGGTGAGGTTGTTGGCGAAGGCGATGAGTGAAGAATGCTCAGCCAGGAGGTTGCTTCATGGACGACAATGTTCAATGGTGACGCTGCAGTCAGAAAGTGGCATTCTAGGTGCTTACGGTTTGTCGATGATAGGTGATATTTTTGTTGAAGGGCCAGTAGCCCTGTTAGGCAGATCAGGTGACGGAGAGTTGTAAAGGCGCGCTGTCATTGAACGTAACAGCTAAACATTGTGCTGAAGAAATTGACTGGCTAAATCCAACATATCTCATATAAAACTGACCAGGGCGGCAATGTTCGACATATGTCTTGATTCTCCTAAGAAGTAAGGGAAGTGATGGAAGTGACGATATCGCGTCTGATTAGTCAGAGGCTCAAATGACGAAAGAGGGAACTTTCATAATTTGAGCCTCTAACCAATCAGACGCAATATCTTCACTTCCATCACTTCCGTTTCTTTTTAGGAGAAACGAAACATTTGTCGTCGAACATACCCCCCAGGTGTTTTGAACATTCATCTTGGGGGGGAAAGGACGGGCAGGTCAAATGCACTTCCAAGCACAGCTTTATTTACCACATTAGCCTGCAGTTACTGTTAAAGCAACTGGTTTGTAATCGCACTCATTATGTAAAACTGTCGCGTCTGTGCAGTTTTTTCTTTTGCATGGTTTATGATTAGCTGTTTTGAAATACCCTTACGGCGACTTTACCTCCACCTTTTTAGACTATGTTTGTTGGTCCTAGGTTTATCGTTTTTATGCACATAGCTTGAAGGCTAACATTCAACTTGTTTGTACTACCGTGTATGTTCGATAATACCCGTCAGCAACCGCATCATTGCATGTGCTGTTTGTAACATTTTCTTATAAATTGTACCATGTAGAGCGAAAATAAACATTTGCCTGCTTGAAATAACTCTTGTGTGAATAAATTTCCTGTGATTGTCGTCCAGTGGTGCGCACGTCACAATAAAGCGAAAGCGCAACGCAAGCGGACGCGAGAACCGGGCACACAAAATGCCATGGGGGCCACCATCTTGAAAACCAAAACAACAAAAACGAAGCATAAAATGTGGTTAGTTACCCCATCCGTGGTGAGAGGGCGCTTTTACGAGTTTAAATAATTGAGGAACTTTCGCTCTTTTTTAATTATTTGGTTATCAATATAATTTATATTGTGTGAGTAATATGTAATGAGTTTAGTTCTAAAATGTACTTTTATTCACACAAGGCCCTCGATCACGTGGTTTGCGATTACCACAGGCTTATTGTACAGTGGGCAAACTGTGTATGATAAACTGTGGACCGTACTGTGCCCTAACCGCCCTTACGACGAAGGCAACAAAGCTCGTTTCGAGAAGGAGGGAGGCCAGCGAGACGACGGGCGCATTGTGTGATGTTTACGGCTTTTGAACAACGGGCATACAAAGATTTGGATTTACCGCGGAGCTGCTGCTCGAAATGGTGAGACCACATCGGTTCCTTTGCGATAGGCGTAACTGCGATTTTAAGGAAGAACAGCCGAAGAAAGAAACTGCGGTCGTCGATCATCGGGGACGAAATGCGGCGTAAGGAGTGATTGATGTGAAACGTGCTCGCGGTGGGTCTTGTCGCTTTTGTTTCGAAACGTGGAGACAAATAAAATGTTTTGAAACATGCAAGATCGTTATCGGCGACCGAAACGCAAGCTCCAAGGCACAAAACGGTTGTGGCGGCCGCCCATCGACGCCGATAGTCCGCTACATTTGGTGGTCGACGCCGCCACAAAGCAGCCACAAATACAGGATTACAAGATTGGTAGTAGAGATCGAGGGAAGTGTTAAATTGCGCACGAATAATAGGTTATACCGGAATACAAACGTTCGACGCGGAATTTGAAAGGTGCAGAAAGATTTCCAAGCTAGGTGGCGCAAGCAACCGCCCAAGATAAGGGGCACAGCCGCCAGCATCCATCTATTGCTATTAGACCTTTTCTGTGTACTCTCGTCCCCAGCCACCTAGCAGGCGTATCCGGTATGGGCGACGAAAAAATAAACCAACGTTTCAACCGGCAAATAGTAAAAAAATAAAGGGGAGGCAAAACGAGAAAGTGTGACGGTTACGCTTATTTCCTAAATGCCTTCTATTGGCGTGGCAAAGGCAAAACAATGTTTTCGCCCATACTGGAAGTGACGTCAATTCAAGATGGCGGCGCACTTGCAGAAAAGGTCTATAGCCAGCGCCGGTAGCTCCGTCGCCGCTGGTTCGAACACTCCTCCGTCCCCGCACCGTCCCGTTTTCGGTACGGCACCCACGGCGCTTTCGCCGGGACGGGGCGAAACGCCGGCTGTGTGAATGAGGCCTAACAGTTTAAATATGTAATGTGACCGCGACTTTTATTAGCGACAATGATTGCCGTTTTGTTGGAAGTTGCTGTATTAATCTCTATTGATTCATGATTCCTCCAGGAGTAACTGACACCAAAAAATACATTTTCTACGTGTGAGGAGTTTAGTTGTTATCAACGTACTGCCGCAGTTTTTTCCTCCGTATTAGAAGGAGCGCTCGGTATATTAACATAGTACATGCATGTTTTTCTATTCTGTAGTTATCAAGACTCAAAGATATGTCGTCGTGAAATCACTAACCGTTTTTTTCTATACATCATTTGAAATGGTGGAGGCATTTTGTGTTTTGACACTGACTTCAGCAATTCAACATCAAAAACAGATATTTCCCATTCTTCTTCCATTCCCCTAATGCTTCAAGGGACAAGAACACTACAGGCTATCTTTCAGTTCGCCTGGGAAGTACGAAAAAAACAAATTATACCGTGCATTGTGAACGAAACACAGACACCTATCTAGAAAGAAGCGACGCAACAGTCATCCATGACGATCTGGAAGACCAGGTCATTTGCATGGAAGTCGATCACGTCTGTGTACCCTTACAGGACAACTGTACCCTTTTTATGGTTTGTATCCTTCTTAAAAAAAAGAACTGAATTTGTATTTGCTAAAAATTACCTATTTATTTTACAGAAAGACCTTGCACTATTGAAATTAAAAGAACCGGTCAATTTTACAACGTATATTCGCCCAATCTGCCTTCCTGAATACTGCGAAGAACCGCCTGCAAATGCCAGCATCTACGGTGTGGGCTGGGGCACAGTTTATGGTAAATGGTATTCTCGCCTCATTTTGTTCTACATGTCAATAATCGTAAACAAATCAGAAAGAAAGGCACATATATCAGAAAATACAAAATCCAAGCCTCTCATAAAACAGTTTTCTGTAGTATGCGTCAGATTCCTGTAATTGAGAGGCCGCCGGATGCTTCAATGTTAACAAAATCAAACCAAATGCGGGCGCTTCCATATGTTTCCTTAAACTATTTCTTTGGAACGGCGTGCAGGCACATTGTAGTTTTCGAAATATCTGATACAAAGCCGATGTTTTTTAAACGTTAGCGTTTATTGTTCGGGGATGTGGATCGATCCACTTTGAAAAACAGGAACTAGCAATAAAACAAAAAATGTCCTTATTGTCTCAGTCACTATATTAGTTCATACATGGATGTATCTAATATGGAGTGGATACTTCATATTATGCATATTCTAAACCAATAATATGAAACGCCTCTATACACGCACAATATTTCAAGAGACACGGCCGGAACACTCGTACATATCATAATAAAGGCTATGAATGTCATCGACTAACCTAACTCTTAACACAGACGTCGCCGACAAAGTTTTTTAAACTGATAATTGACAAACATTTAACCCTTTTGTATGAAATTTACGTGCATGATCATATAGTCACTGCAACAATCAGCATCAAGAAAGTTAACATTGATGCGAGCTTGGTTCTCCGAGTACTGGGCGTTTATGACAGCACAACTCGAAGTTTCGAAGGTGTTCGCCGCATGTTTGATACGTAACTAAATTATTTTTTTTTGCAGCTAGAGCAATCAAATGAATGCAGATTGACAAAAAAAAACTTAGTTGTTTTGGCAATTAGTGATGCACAATTAAGTGTGACAATGGACCTTTTTTGCTGTAACGAGCGCCGTCTGCGGAGTACTCTTCAAACTCCAAATGAAGGGCAGCCCAACTTGCCTCTGCCCGTCATATTATATTGGCATCGTTCCGTTGTATTGATCTTCGCTGGCGTTTGTGCCCCATACTAGCGTATATTTAAACAAACAGAAAAAAAGACACGCAAAAATCATTGCTGGATGTGTTGGTCGACTGGAACATTGCCCTGCGAAAACTGCGACGGCTGGAAGCAAGGCCAGGGGAGGGGGTGTACGGATGCGCAGATTACATTTAAAAAGGTCCACTGGTATCAATGTTGTGTTTAAAACCTCGTTCCGTAGCTGAAGTTTGCAATGATTTTATTGCATCCGAAGTAGGTTGCAGCCAGACATCCGTAAAACATAAATTGTTTTAAAGCGGTGGCCTTATAGCCCCAATATCTCTTGACGCCTCGTAACGCGTGACGCTGAAGTGCTCGTGGCTGAGGCGATGGCGGCTGAAGCTTGAGCTCTGGTCGGCTAAGCTCCGGCCATGCTAACTTCGGTCGCGTGTTTTCTGAAGCGCCGGTCGCCTAAGATGACGTGACCTCATGTTCTCGACTTTACCCTAGAGGTTGTCCTTGAGGTCGCCCTTGAGGCACTCATAGAAGTTGTCTTAAAGCTCGTTCACACTCTTGCGACCGAGTACGACCGAGAGAGACCATACCGGTTTTAAGCCTCTTACGACGTCTTGGGACCAGCTCCGCAGCAGCGCATCCGGTCTTAAGACATCGCAAGAGGCTTAAAAACCGGTCTTGTGTCTCTCGGTTGTACTGGGTTGCAACTACGTGAACGAGCCTTTAGACGTCGTCCTTAACGTTGTCTTTACTAGGACGTCGTCCTAAACGTCCTCTCTTGACGTCGTGCTCAGTGCATGTACGGGATATTAAAACCACGATTTCATTACCGTACAACTTATTTTCTTAATTGTGTTCACTAATAATGCTCCAGGTAAGCTGCCACATTTCATCGCGTTTGGTAGAATAAAAAAAGCTGCATCAATTTTGTAACAGAGAATGTTTTTAGGGGCTGGATTTCAAGTAGTTGTGAAACTCTTTCAATCCTTTCAAGAAAGATTTACCATGGAGCTAACCTTAAACCATGCGACCTTTAATCCAACGTCTTATTTTCGGCGCCGCAAGTAGGAGATGAAAAAAGCACAAGCAAGTGAACTGTATGACTTAGCGCTAACCCTCGTCAGCGGTAGCACGCGGTTGTCCGCGGCGAGGGATGCTTAGTTAAGCATACTTGGTTATGCATACTTTGCCTTAAGGCGATATGCGAGGCCAGTTTTGCCTAGTCAAACATACACAGTCCGCATTTAACCGTCGGCACAGTCACACATTGTCCAGCATACTTATGCCGCAGTATACAGTCGCTGACGAATTATACTTTATCCAGCATACTTGGTAGCCAGGCCTTGCCGGCGAGTCACATTAAGTACAAAATACTTCATTCACAGACGACCTTCGGCTGCAGGTCATACTTAACCGAGCATTCCTAGCCCGCAAGCGATCGTTGTACCTGGTGCGCGGGCGACAGCCGGAGGTGGGTTATACCTAGTCAAGAGTACTACGTTCACCGGCGACCGTCGGGAGCGAACAATACTAAGTCCATAATACTAATTCCACAGGTGACTGTCGGCAGAAAGTCATACTTTGTCCAGCATACTTAGTCTGCAGGCAACCTTTTGTGGCCACTCAAACTAAGTTTAGCGAACCTAGTATGTAAGCAGCCGTCGGAGGCGAGTTAACTTGGTCCAGCATGATAGCCGCAGAAGACCGTTCGTGGCGATTCATATCTTGTCCATGATACTTAGTCCGTAACCTAAGGTCGCCGGTATGTTATACGTAGTCCAGCGCAGTGAATCTTTGGACGATCGTCGGCGGTAATGCATGCGTAGTAGAGCAAAATTAGTTCGCAGGCAACCGTTGGAGGCGAGTCATGCTTAGTCCAGCATACTGAGATCGTGAGAGTTTGTGGCGTAATGCTTAGTTCATTATGCCCACCATACACCGCAGATGGTTGTCGGCAGCCAGTCAGACGTATTCCAACCTAATTATACTTAAATTACATAGTAGCCGACACTACGATCTATACTCCGCGACAACTTTTCTTGGCAATGCAGTGGAAGGTACGTCCCGCGTCCCCTCTCCCATTTTGAGTGTACGCAGGCTCTCCTCCTGTCCCCGGAAATGGGGGAGGAGGAGAGCCTGCGTACACTCAAAATGGGAGAGGGGACGCGGGACGTACCTTCCACTACACTGCCAAGAAAAGTTGTCGCCGAGTATAGGGAAGCCAGTCAAGCAGTATAAGCAGTGCAAAACCACGGCGATCGTTTTCTTTGTGAGTTTGCTATCATAGCCTAAGCTAATCTTGCGGCCAACATTCTTTGGACATTCCGTGGAATGAAACGCTTTCAAGAAAATATCTCAAATCTAATTCCAACTTTCAACTTACAACTTTCTTGTTTCTCTTCAAGAGAGAGAGGGAGAGAGAAAAAACAGACTGTTGTCACTTGACAGAGTTTCTCATCCCCACCAGCAAGAAGATGAACTATTTTACAGACTCGTGATCCGTACAGCAAAGTTTACATAGAAGTAAAACACAACATTAAACCAAAAAAGACCTGACATGCATTACAATCATTTTTAATGGTCAAGGGTCCAATCATATTAGGCATAGATAAATGTAGATGTAGGAGCTTCAGACCACTACGGTATCAGGAATCGAACTCTTTAATTACGCGCTCACCAGCGCGTGAGCACGCGGTCTCGGTGCTCGCGCTCAGAACGAAATGCCAACCTAAATTTAAAATAACATTTTGAGTCACGCTAGCGCGGGCCACTGCATTAGAGAATAAAAAAAAAATCCCTTCTCCTTAACATCATGAAATCCGTGCCAAATCTATAGGTACATATTCATGACATTAGGCAACGAGAACTGCAGCATCTGGAGACCGTAGTCACTTCTTGAGCGAGACGTTGACCCTGTGTCAACGCAACGGCTTGCATTTGCACGCAGCTTTCGCTTGATCTTGGTGAATGTTAAGAAAACAAGTTTACTTTGCGTTACCGACGTTTGATATGTTAGAATAAGTTTATAAATGTAAAGCATTGTAATTAAAACTATTTGAAGGTTTATGAAATGTTGTAATGTGGCAGCGTTGAACTCCGTATTGCACATAATTCGGATGATTCTCTTCTGGAGCACATGGTGTGATGCATACTTCTAGTGGTTGTGCTACACTAAACAATAGAGCAGTAACTATAGCAAGAGTAAAACAGGGAGTTATAAAGAAGGACTAAGGCCGAAAGGGGTAATATATATGTCGCCTTTTATAAATAATGGCAACACCTTTTGAAAGTCTGCGATCTATAGTTTGCACTTTGGCGTCCCTGCTCATGTACTCGTTAAATATTACACCGAGAACCTTCTCATTTGTACATAGTAAATATTTCGTCCTTAGAGAGAAAGCCCTTGAGTATATCAATACAATATTTATGGGTAGAAAAAGTATTTCATTCGTCTTATTTGTATTAATTACTAGACAGTTTGAGATTTTCCAGTAACTTATCTTCTGCAGAAAGCTATTTGCCGCACATAAAACCTGGTGGACAAATTCATCCGAAAAGAATAAGCTGGGGTCGTATGTGTAAATTATAAAACCTAGACTGTCGGCAATATTTGCTGAGTTATTTATGTACAAGTTAAACGGAAGTAGTTCAAGGAAACTCACCTGCGGCACCACTGACGTGAGTTTCCTTAAGCTAAATTACTGACTATCTATCACGACACTGATGCCGATACTTAAAAAAAAAATACTCTCGACCATCGTTGAGGCTACTCCTTGCATTGCGCATGCATTTAATTTTAGAAGCAGAATTTAATGGTTTAGGTGTTCGAAAAGTTTGCAAATCAATGATGACCCCAAGGTAATCCATTTCTTTTTTACATTCTTTAGAATTTGCTATTTTTGTTTTAATAGCGTGATTTCCGTCAAATTCTCTTTCTAAAACCAATTGGCAAGATGTTAGAAAAGAGTTCTATTCACCAAAGCCAAAGGTGTATCATATGGCGTGTATATTTTTCTGAAGCCATTTTGAGAACACTTTCAGCACAGGAAGGGGTCTGTAATCTAATTGGTTGTTTTTATGCTCAAACTTGAAAATAACCGTAACCTTAATGACATTCACCTTTTTTTCTGTTCCATGATTCAAGGCAATAAGCGCAATAAAGAAGATAAATATATTTTTTTTTCAAAAAAAGCAGAAATCAATAATTTTGTATATCTGGCCTACAGGATTGTAAATCTGGCCTACAAAAGCCTGTAGAGCCGCGGAATTAAAACTGTACGCTTCAAAATATTAATTACTGCCTTTTGATATTTTATGACTGTCATCTGAAATATTCTCAGGAAACATTGCGATGTTTGTTGTTGTACAGTTATTTTCGGACATTCGCAAGTTGCTGATGCCTAATAAATTTGGTAATGCGCAAAATAAAATGCGCAGGCTCACGGAGCCTTATTTGTACGTGATAGGTTTAGTTTGTGATACCATGCCTGTAAAGGCGATCAGCGCTCTGACAATGCACTTTTGGTGCTGCTTGATTGGCTCCGTCGGTGACTGTGGTGGGACTTAAAGTGAAACGGAGTCCACAGGCCACCGTTGGCGGCAGTGATATTTAGTACGGCACACTTAGTCCCTGGGTGACAGTCGGCGCCCGTAGCCGGTTCATCTATGAAGCCCCCTTATGTGTAATTACGGCACCACGGGTGAAAGATCGGTGAGGGCGCAAGGTAGCTGCTCCAAGTTCATAATTGTAGAATTACCTGAGACCGCGGTGACGACACACAACTAAAGATGGTAAGGAGTCTCGAACGCAGCTCACATTTTATTGCCACAGAATCCATTTAAAGGGGCTGCGCGACAATTTTCATTTTTTGGCCAATTAACTGCGGAAATTATTCTGCGTCACCTATGGAACGAAAAGCAGAAAACCGCATTTTCTTGCGAGCGCTAGTTCTAATTTAAGGGGAAAAAAAATAAAACAAGTCGAAGGTCAAAGTGCCTCTCTACTCTCCACGCCGACTTTAGAGTGACGTACTCTGGGGGTTCACGTAGCTTCCCCTTGGCTCCTCTTTTCAGAGACCAACCGCTTCCTCTCTGATTGTAGACTTTTAAAGAATTAGCATCGTCGAAGGTCGCGGCAAGCAATCGACACAAAGGACGGTTCGCCACGGGGCTGATGGCGAGTGTGACAGCGGAGGGGGACAGGTTTTGTTGATTTCCACGTATCTCCCAGAGACGGTGTCATTTTAGTTCCCGTAATCTCGACAGGCGGCTGCAGATCAGAAATAATTCGTTTTTTTGCTTTGCAATTACGTAAAGCAAATTAAATCATTGCACTGCCCCTTTAAGTATGGTTTGAACTAGAAAGGACAAAAGGCAAACCGGGGAAAAGGGAAAAAAATTGCAAGTTATATACTCTCAAGGGTAAAACACACAGTAAGAACCCCAAGTATATCTGTCAGTTCGAGGTGCAAAAGTTGGTGAAGCTAGATGCTCGAAACGATCGATAGTTCACCAGTCCGAACAAGCACATACAAAAGAGGCTAGTTCAAAGCCGTGTATTCTGAAAAGCACGCCTTTACACAAAAACGTGAAATTTGCCACAAAAAAACACAACACAAAAACGACACAACGTTTATTACAAATATTCTTTCCCCCTCCCTTCAGACAAAATTAGAGGTCAGGAGATATTTTCTACACGGCCTCCAAACATAGGGACGACTTATCTAATGCGTTTCCATGGTTTTCTTTCACCATTGACTCTTTCATTTTCCATGCCATGCTGGCCATTTTCGTCTGTTAAAATCACAGAAGACGTTAAATTTCACAACGGTACAGAATTGTTATTTTCTTGGGCGTGCTCTGAAACCCCCAATACGGATCCTTATCGTTCGGTCAAACGGTCATTGACGCTGCGCTTGGTCTGACTAATATAGCACAAACGACATTCAGATGTGATTTTGTAGACCATCCTTGAAACACGCGCAAAACGTTTTTCTTCGTGTTTTTTTTTTTTTTTTTTTATGGCAGCCATATTGGGCCGAAGTGAACGGAGTCGATTGTTTTAAGGTATAGTCTAGGCTAAATGTCGTACGGGGCCCAAATTGAGCGAGATTTGAGGTTATGAGGTACTCAAAATAAAACGGGAAGACAGCTTGTTATTCCTGCCCGGAACTGATTTTAGCCTTTTTTTTTTCGGAGAAAACTATGTAGCAAAACTACTTGGACAGAAGCTTTTGAGGGTATTTTACTTCGTTGAGACGGCTGATCAGATTTTAAATAGACTCTGCTATAGCGTGAGCACAGGATTTTTGGACTGCGTTACTTATCAGATTGCGAAGCAGACACGACTTCGCAGTTTTTGAATGGCAGCTTGTGTGAAGAAAGGGATTGGTTTTGCCGTCACCTGCACGGTTGTGAGGTGAGCTCGTTTGTATGTGTTTGTTCGGACTGGTGAACTATGGGTTGGGCAATCCAGCTTCACCATCTTTTTGAGCTCAATCTGCCTGATACAAATCGTGTTCGTACCGTGTGTTTTGGCCTTGAGAACGTGCCATAGCCTTCACCACAGTCTCGGTTAATTATACAATTATGAAACGTAACGTATCAAGAGATAGCAGAGCTTGCGATCGTGTTAAACTTTCAGGAAATAGGAATTGATAAAGTAAATGGCGTTATAAACCTTCTCCCTCGTGATTAACTTGAGTTGCCACAAGCGGATATTTAAAATTTAAGAGTATTAAAGATTCAAGGCTCTACACCGGCCCATTAAAAACAGATGCCAAGAAAAACTTATCACTAAACCGTTCATGTAAAGAGCTCTACTTCTGAAGAAGATTAAACTTGTCTTAATAATTCTGATCAATCTGAAGTTCAAAGGTGTATGTTTAGTGTGCAGTGCATCCGAAACCAGCCAAAGCTCCGCGCAACCAGCAGAGAAATTCATGACGCACACATGACACACGTAAGACACATTCTCTGTTCACCGGGTTTTCTCAAAATGATCAAGGCAAGTTTAATTCTGTTTTTGACCAAACATATTATTCAGAAAACTAAAGCCTAAACATATTATTTTTACTATTTTTTTTTAAAAGTCTGTTTGTGCTGCACACATTTTTTTTACGAACCTGTAAGTCTTTCGTAAACAATGCATTCTTTTTGCATGGTTAAACATAAATACCAATCCCAATTTTTTTTTTTACATATGTATAGTTTTATATATTTTGGGTACACATGTTCAGTTATATGAACCTCCCGCGTTATAAATATTAAACAATTACCAATCGAATTTAGGCCACCCAGAGAACGGTGAAAAATTCTTCATCCGTGCACATTCCTAATAAGAATTTTATGTTTTACAATTTTCTTCAGAATATTATGAGATGGATGAATCATTAAACGAAACAGATGAAGACGTCAAAGATTTCGTGGATTATGAGAGTTCCGCAGAAGAAACAAACGATACGTCATCATCGGAACTGGTGGGCTTTTTGGGATTTTTTCACCCAGAAACCTTGATGGAAAGAAATATATCCTTAATTACTAACGAACAGTGCGAACGACGACTTGCCACAACTGTTCCAAATTACGTCCTATGCTCCAATGGGGGAACATGTTACGTAAGTATGAATTATTGTGTCATTTCCTGAGAATAAAATTTATTTGGTACGCAACTGCACGAAAAATTAAATGACTCCTCGTACCATGAGACACGGCATGCATTTGAAACTAAATTGAACTATTGCTTTTTCGCCTAAACAAATCTGTAAAAAAAAAAAAAAAAAAGAAAAACGTTCACCTGCATTTTTAGATGTAAAACATTTAAGAACCTGACCGAACTCAGGAATCTGACATATTGGTCCAGTTTCCCGCTGAAAGAAAGTGTTTTTAATGGGAACTTGGGATTAAAAAGGGGCATCTTTGCTAAACATCTTTGAAACTGAATTGGACTGATCCCATCTAAAACAAGGTGAAAACGCTATGGTTGTTTTTGTACTTTTATTCAGTAGATGTTCTCCAAATTGTCGAGTTAACATCGTGACATTCCTGGCACCAGACTTGGAGAATGTATCAAGTGTAAAGAAATCTAAAGAATTGCACAGAGCTCATCTTGCGTTACAGCTGCTGACCAAAACGGTTGCACTCCTTATGGAGGGCTAGTATTAAACCACAGAATAAAAATGTCCTATGAAAAAGAACAAGAAAAAAAACACGGGCTATCGCCTTAGACAGATGGACTCTGCATCGTAGAAAGCTGGAACTCAGTGAGAACATGACGCTAGTTGTGCGATAATGCATATTCTTAAAAGCAGGACGTTACTTGCATAAACTACTTGCTGGAAATGAACAACAAATAGGGGCTGACGTCCACTTAAGCTTAATATTTATAAAAGCAAAAATTAACATCTTAAATGCCTGTAGCATTAGTTTTAGTTTCAAATAGATAAACGTGTCAGCAAAAGAAAAACATCAAAAATCGCTTTATTTGATGGGAAAAACAGCTCAGGAAACACAGACTAAGAAGAGGAACATACACGAAAGCACAATGCTGTATGTTGTGTATGTTCCTCTTCGTAGTCTGTGTTTTCTGAGCTGTTTCCCCCATCCTGCATAACGTCACCCAACTGGCCCAATTTACCGCCTTATTATTGTTTTACTTGTTTACAATTCTTAAATCAATTCAACAAACGCCCGCGGTGTCATTTGCTTGAATTTACAAATATTTGGCTTAGGTTAGCGTCGGCTCACACACAAATTCAATTTTTCTCTCGTTTCTTTCGATGAAGGTAATGCGATCTCAAACTTTCGCTTTCTTTCATTAGCACATGCGTTGCATTGTCATGAAGTTTCAACTTTCGGCGATGCGTAGTTTATTTGCACAACCCCTAAAACCAGGGGCCGCTTTTCTCAATTGAACCCGGTAGAATAGTGATACGAGTCCTAAAAAGCGGGGGTGAGCGCCCTTAGCTGTCGATTGCTTCCTATACATTTTGCCAAGAAGAAACCAAGCAGAAACTTACAACATAATTGATGCGAACGGAAATGATAAATGTAAGCAGGGCTGTGCCTCTGAATTCAGCTTTCGACAACGAATGAGTGAAGTATTCCCGATCCGTTGTTGCAACCACTAGAGCTTGCCAAAGTGTACATTTGTGAACGTCGAAACAAAGAAACGAATATGTTTGTTTTAAAACTCGTCAAACAATATAACAATAATAATAATAATAATAATAATAATAAATTTATTCACCCATTCAGACGAGAGAAGTAGGATGTGAATACGGGTACATCGAAGTCAATAAAGGCTTGTGTGATGACACCCTAAAAAAAGGACATATGTGTCTGCCTAGGTACAAAATAAAGCAAAATTCACACACACACAAGAAAATTTAAACTAGCACACAACTAGCATCTCACAAACAGTCTATACACACATCCTGAAAAGTCAGTTAACTAGTGTCCAGGTTTAAGCACTTGAGTTCTCGTTTCAGCGTCTTCAGTGATGTCACTTGGTAAACAGAGTCCGGGAGGGCGTTGAACAGAAACGGGACATAGTACTCCCGCATACATTTGCCATATCGAGTGGAACAAAGCTTCACTTCGAAACGAAAGGTGCGACGCAATGCGCGGGATGGAATAACTGGTGTTTTGATATCGCTATTCCAAAAGTACCGACGCACAACAGTCTGAATAAACTGAGAACGAAAATTCGGGAGTTTAAGGCTTTTAAAGATGTCAGCGCTGGTAGACAGATCCGTATTATACGCAACGCTTATAATAATAATAATAATAATAATAATAATAATAATAATAATAATAATAATAATAATAAATAATAAATAAATTTATTTACGCAGGATGTATTCAGGGCGGCACTAGGCAGGTTCGTCGAAGCCAGCAGGGGCTTGTAGGACTGAACCTAAGTAGCAGTGGTAAATAAGAGAGTTTTGGTAAATAATAAAATAAAGCAGAAAAACACCACATGGTTTCTTCAGTTGTGAAAACTACACAAAAATGTCAGTCAGAAAGTTATTGTCAGAGTCAAGGAAAAAATATACAATACAAATATAAGCTATTTTTCTAGTAGAAGGAAAAAAAAAGAGGTATGGCTAAGGTCCAGTCGTATCGTATAAGAACTTGATGATAGAAGGAGTCATACACATGCACACACACGCAGATACGCGCACACACAAATACACAGACAATAATAATAATAATAATAATAATAATAATAATAATAATAATAATAATAATAATAATAATAATAATAATAATAATAATAATAATTTTATTGCATCTCTTTTGCATGATCAATACATGTATGCGGGTCCGTCGAAGCCAAAAACGGCTTGTATGACTTGACCCGGCAGTGGCGTAGAAATGTGGTACATAGAAACATTCAAAAAGTTACATGCAGACTACCATACACGGTGTCTTGGAGCTGAAGTGCAGCTCACGAAACAAATGACTAATGACGTAAGAAATAAAAACCCAACAGAGCGCTTCTCATGAACAAAAAAATGTATAACAGCATAAGAGGAAAAGCAAATGGGCAAACACACATCTCAAACGCAGAACTAAGATTCGAGAGTATAAATTGTTGCGTCGGCATAGATCATATAAATATAATCAATCAATCAATCAATCAATCAATCAATGTTTTTATTCGTGCCCGGGAACAACCTTGCGGTCTTGGTACAGGTGCACTGTGTTAACATGTAAGGCAGAACAGGGTATAAAGCAATAGTACGGACAACACAAACAACGGACAAGCCCTAGAAAAATACACTTAAAAATTATAAAAAGTAAACACAAAGTCACAACACACGATAAGCTTAATGGTACTACCGCCAACACCAATTGCTAGAAAGAAAGAAAAAAAATGCATTAAAAGTGGGGAATTTCGGCGTGAACGCCGCAAGTTAGTGCATACAGTTCAAATTTAAGTGATGGCCTTTAACGTTTTTACAAACTGCAGCGTGTTATTGTTAAATATGTCGAGTGTTTCAGAAAAAGAAGAATTATAAGTATGCCCAAGTCTGGACACAGGATCGTGGAGGTTGAGTAGACGCCTGTTGCAGAAGGACGCATTTTGCCTTGTTGTTTTTAGAGGAATTTTTAAGAGTACTCTTGACGTCAATACCGTGCAATCAGTGACGGCGTGGACAAGTTTGTATAAAAATAAGATATCGGCAAGTTCTCTCCTACGAAGCAGGGTAGGTAGTGCCACGCTACGCTGAACAGGGACAGGGACATCAGTAGTGGTGGGCACAATGCGCGCTGAGCAACGATGTCTATAGATGGAAAGAAACTTGTTCTGAACCCGTTCTATTTTCGAGGAATTTGTGGCACAAATTCCATTCCATACAACAGAAGCGTATTCAAGCTGTGGTCGACACAATGCACTGTAGAGTATAAGAAATGTGCAGGGGTTAATAAACTCTTTAGTGATGCGGCACGCACTCCCGAGCGTGCGTAGAGCTGCGTTCACGATGTGATCCACATGACTGGAGAAGATTACGGTGCTGTCAAACACTACGCCAAGATCTTTGATTCTGTTCATACGTTCCAAAAGGTCTGTCTGAATAACATATGGGAATACACTGTTATGTGTCTTACGAGTGTACGACACGACTTTCGTTTTAGAGCTATTTATCTTTAGGTCATTCTCCCGGCACCATTCTTCAAAAGCATCAACATCTCTCTGTAGCAAAACACAGTCTCGGTCTTCTCGTACCTCCATAAACATCTTAATATCATCTGCGTACTGAAGAAATGAAGAGTGACGAATCACAGTCGAAACATCATTAACAAAAACTGAAAACAGAAGAGGTCCGAGAACGGAGCCCTGAGGCACACCCGTTGTCGCCTCATAAGTAGCAGAAAAATTATTATTCGAGCTAACAAAGCACTTCCGGTCACGCAAATAACTTTCGAGCAATGAAAGCAATGAGTTGTGAATATCTAGCTTTGACAGTTTAGCCAGTAACATCTCATGATTAACAATGTCAAACGCTTTACTCAAGTCAAAGTAAATCACATCAAGCTGGCCTCTGTTAGCGACGGCGTGAGCAGCGGTTGACATAAAACAGGCGAGATTAGTTGTGGTCGAGCGACCCGCCATAAATCCATGTTGGTTAGGGATAAGATAACGCTTGAGATTGAATGACAATATTTTGTGTAGTGCCACTTCGAGGAGCTTCGAAAATGTGCAAAGAAGAGATATAGGTCTGTAGTTCGACACATTTGTTTTTGGACCGGACTTATGCACAGGTACAACAAGTGCCGTTTTCCACATGGCGGGAAAGACCTCATTCTTTAGGCAGTTGTTAAAAATCTGTACTAGAACAGGAATAAATATGGCACTGTATGCCTTCAAGAGGACTGACGGAATACCATCATGGCCAGAAGACAATAATAATAATAATAATAATAATAATAATAATAATAATAATAATAATAATAATAATAATAATAATAATAATAATAATAATAATAATAATAAATTTATTGCAGGTGCTTAAACGTCTTCAGGGTATCATTTCGGGACCGTCAAAGTCCTAAAGACTTGTAGGACTGATCCCAACAAAATATCAACAAAAGCACGCATAACAATGAAAAAAAAAAAAAAAACCACACACACACACACACACACAAAGAAAACCAAAAAACACAGAACAAAGAAGTTACAGAGATTCAGAGACGCGACAAGGTAAATATCGTTAAAGACGAATTGCACAGAACAAACTCATTACAAAAAGTCTTGAGGTTTACGCTATTTTCCTATGGGCGAACACATAGTCTTCAGTTTTCTTTTTAAGTTTCCACGAGAAGTAATGTCACTCAGCACAGGTGGGAGTTTGTTAAAGGTGTTTGGAACATAATAATTCCGAATGCATGTCCCAAAATGTGTACTAATTCGCGGCGTGGCATATGGTGCCACTTTCCGAAGGTCACGACAAACCACGTTGGGAACCTTAAAGGTATTATCCCAGTAATGTCGGAGTATAACGGTATGCAGAAATAGGGCTCGAAAGGATGGTAAAGAGAGATCATCAAAGATGTTGTCGGATGTTTCAATATTGGAGCCATATGCCACGCTACGCAAGATGCCCTTTAGGAGAGAATTTACTTTAGTTTCTAATAGGCTTGTGCATTGC